AACAACAACAACAACAACAACAACAACAACAACAACAACAACAACAACAACAACAACGACAACAACAAGCAACAACAACAACAACAACAACAACAACAACAACAACAACAACAACAACAACAACAACAACAACAACAACAACAACAACAACAACGACGACGACGACAACAACAACAACAACGACAACAACGACAACGACGACAACAACGACAACAATAACAACAACAACAACAACAACGACAACAATAACAACGTGGCTTTCGTGATTTCTTCTTATTTTCGATTCAAGCAACAAGGAAACCCTCAACAGCAGACCGACCCATCTGGCTCGGACTCCAAGAGACTTCGCGGACGCTCAAAATGGATTGACCCGGTTTGGCGCGACTCCGACGGTCCGACAATTCCTGGCGGGCCACCGAGCATAGACAATCGGCAACCCATCTTGTGGATCGAAATCCATTTCGCACCCTTTCCTGGACTGATGATCCCTCAGCCCTCTGTAAATACCAACTAACAATGGTTTCAATATGTTTCAATCATTGGTTTCATTTCGTGGTGCGAAGGGATTGCAACCACAGACGACCCACTTCCATGGGCCCCTCGATGCCCCTCGGCACGCAAGGCGTCCTACAAGGGCTGCAGGCTGCACGCGCTGTGAGCTTACATACCTCGGCTGACAACTTCGACTTGACTTTGGACCTCTGACGTCTGATTGCGGAGAGAGGCTTGACAAACTGCCAAGGCCGTCCCTCTGTGTGAAAACGTCAACTCCTCAATTCTACGCCACCTGGAAGAACCAAAAGGGGTGTTCAGCAACTTGTGAGGGGTTCTCTCAACTGGGGCACACTCTAGCATTTGCCTTTGAACAGCCCAAACATTCGTTTCGGCTCCTCACATTATCTGGGACTTCCGGAATCACATCCCGAAACTTTGAAAAGTTCGTCCGGAAGATTGCGTCCCGCAACAATGATTTGTGTCGGTCCCCGTTGAACGCCAGCTACATGTGGACCTGTGCACTGTGCACACTCTTGCAACGCTTGCAACAAGAGGGCCCGCTTGAGCAACAGAAGGCGGTCACCTTGGCAATGAACACCAGGGCGGTCTTGAACCCTTGCAGCATGAAATACTTAAATTTGCGATTTCAAGCCGTACAATCACGATCCAAAATGCATAAACGCCCTACTAAAACGTGACACCCGCAGACTTCAAAAGCTTGACAGGTTAATCACACCAAACGGAAGCAGTTTTCCAACAAAGTGGAACCTGGTGACCCCGAGAATTCCTCTAGGTCATATCCTCGATTCCAACTGTTTTTGAGGGGTGGGCATAGTGTTGATGAGTTGCTTCCAAGCTTGAAACCCTGGCTGAGAATTGCTGCTCCAGAAGCAGGCCATCTACCCGGGGTGGAGTTGTCTGGTGACAGGCTTGCAAGGCGACCCCCAAGCAAAAGACCCACCCTCCCTTCCACTAACACGGCAGCTGACAGAGGGCCCCTTCAGGAAGTTGATCTTCCAGATACCCTGCCCAAGTCCCGAGGCGCAAATCGAAGCCGCTCCCTTGAGGAACGTCCTGAGCTGACGCTTTCGGGCGCAATCCCTTGCATTTACTTGATGACGGGAGGGTAGAAAATGGGAAAACCAACCCAATCAAACTGTTCGAATATTGGAAGCCTGTTTGGGTGAAAAATAACCATCAAAAACCCAGCCCATTGTTCGGGGTTGGGAAGTGTTTGAGAACCCGCGTGCCACATCCAGTTTGCACCCCGAACCACAAATAGTGCACGATACCCCAAAAGGAAACTCATCTACAAGTGGCCTGCTTAAAACCGATGCCGAAAGGGAAGTATGGGGACCACATGCGAGCGGGCTCCCCTCCGACTCTCAACTTCTCTGCTGAATGAACAAGTTGAACCTTCTGCAGCTAAATTGGGGGGGGGGGGGGGCAGATCTCGTTTGTGATGCGGCTGTGTCAAAAAAGGCGGAACTCCCCCCTCCCAAGAATAAACCAGAGAAACAAAGTGTGCTTGTTAGTTTGTTAGTTTGTTAGTTTGCTTGCTTGCTTGTTTGCTTGGTCCTCCTTGGAACCAGGCGCAAACAGGGCACTTATCAAAAAGACCAAGTTGCAGCTGAGCAACTGAAAATATGTCTTAGCCGAAAATATGGATGTCAACAACTTGGTGTGTGTGTGTGTGTGTTCGAGAATACCCTTTTAGGTTGGTTTGCAGGGGAGCCGAAAGGCAAGCCATCATTGTTGAGGTCCCAGTATTTTGAAGCATACCCAACTCAGGCCACTTCCGCAAGAAAATTGAACGTGGATGAGTGATGCTGTCGATCCACATGGCAAGCGTGCTTACCTCGCCCCCGCTGCACACCAACATGTACTGAAACCTCCGGATTGATCTGGCTGCCGGAAAAAAAGGGTGGGGGGGGGTCTCCAAAAGGACAGCATACCCTTTAATCCCCGCCCTCAACCCGCCAAAGCTCACGTCTTCAACTCTGAGAGTATCACCGCCTGGATCGACCAGAACAAGTGTGCGCTTTCTGTTTGATACCAAAATCTGGTCTCCGAAAGGAAGATCCAGGAACTCGTTGGAAGCTCGACCCGGTCCATCCAATCCGACACAATCCGACACCGTAGGGCCCCCCCACGGCGCCGTAGACCCAGCACTTGGGGAACAGGATGTGATGCTCCATCAGGGCCCTAAGCAGACCCACGTGATGGGAGGTCTTGCACGGGCGTGGTTCCGGTTTTGGAGTTGATGGATGCCCTTTTTGTGGCTTCACAAAAAGAAACCGCCCTTTTTTGGGGGGGGCCCAAAAAAAGGACTGACGCCCAGAATGTCAGACAATTCGAGTCTCCATATTTAGTGAACCGTTTTGAAGGGTTCACATCAAGAGAGATGCCAGAAAAGGGTCCGGTGTCGTCAATGGGTTCATATCAAACCACAAATCCCACCACACATTGAGGACAGTACCCTCCCCACATTTACTGTTGCGATAGAACCCTAGCTAAGGGTCCCCTCGTTTAGATCATGCCCCTCCAATGTCTAATAAAAGGAACCCTCCGGTAGAAACAAAAAAGGTCGGTAGGATGGTATGCTGACTGTCGACTGTTGAGGCGTATCCGAGAGAGAAACTCACTCTTGCATTTAACCTCTCTCCGACGCGAACGGCCTCGGAACAAATGTTCGTACTCAACCCCAACCTTGGGAAAGAATCCCGAAACGGGTTTTTACTGTCAAGCAAACTAAACCCATGCCCTGGGCAGGGTCCCTCCATACATCCTTGCCCTACCCACATTGCGGGAATCTGACTGGCCGGACGCAAAAGGGTGCGAACAATCTGCTCTCACTTCGGGCCAACTTGTTCTGGCCAAACATGGTTAAGGCTATGGCTTTCTGGTCAGGGTTTGCCTTTTGCCGCTGCTGAGGCACTGCAAAGGAGATCTCACGAGAATTTCAAGCACAGGGGGGCCCAACTCGTTTTTCAAACGAGTCAGTCTGAAAGGCAAGCCTTGTCCGGTGTTTCAAGTCCGAGCTGATCTGACCTGGATCTACTTGCCAACGTTCAGCTAGGAAATGCCAGCGGCGCAGTCTGCCTGAAACATCCGCGCCTGCCGTCTTGCTCCCCCATCTTTTGCGCAACCCCCCCCCAAATTAGACTCAAGCCAAAACGATCGCTCGGAGGCAGCCGCCACCCCGGCGGATAAAGTCCACCTTTGAGAAAACACGTGCAGAACAGATTTCCCGCTCTGCCACCTCTAAACATCAACCTAAAGGAAACCAAATCAGCTGCCCAAAGTGATCGACAAAGGGGAGAAATGGCCTCAGTTGCATTTTCAAAGGGCTCAGAGATAAAATAGGAGATCACCTTTTCGGGCCACTGAAAACATGGGCACCCAAAAAAGAGGCACAAGGTCGATTGCTCCAGTCGATCTGCGTTCGGCCAAAGAGGCTGCTTAGACAATGGGATGCCGTAGCCCTGTGGCAGCCAGTAATCGCCCGCCATCTGCACCGAACCGGGAAAAAACACGGAGAAAGGACCGCCCGGCCTTGATGGGTCACTAAATAATTCAGGGCCGGGCAGCGTCCTGGGGGGACCCTCTTGAGAAACCTGGTGACAACATTCATTTGGGGGCCAGATTAGCCTCTTGAGCATGAATATGGCTATTATTTTTAAAGTCGGAACCCCTTCCCAAACGGTGGGACATGAATCTCAAATGATGTCCAGAGGGTCCCCATTGAAATCCACATCCATATAAAGCCTTCTCCCCGAACCATAGGGGCAAGGCGAGGGGGGGGATCGCATCCCAAATTCCAGCTGTCAAGTCTGTCAGCCCTTTCTCACAAAGCTTGAAAGACACATTTGAATATAATCCCAGAAGTCACCTCCATGCTCTCCCACATGTCATTCTTTACGGGCGTATTCTTGACCAAAGAATACGCCAACTTAGGCCTCACGGTTACAGTTGGGGATCTTTGGGGGGGGGGGGGGGAGTTGGTCTGCAGCGACGTCCCCAACCTGGGAAGGAGAAGGGGTGGGGAGTCCGGGACCCAATGCCATGCATTTGGTTTTTCAGAAAGGCAACATGGAACCATACATGAAATCCCAGCCACCCTCCTCCCCCCATTCCATTTTTCTGTCAGTGAATATGGTTGCCATTTGAAACCTCGGCAACTGGTTGCCGGCACAGCTCATTTCTCCAAACTTCTCAAACCTGGCCGGGGTTCAACTTCCACTTTGGCCATTCATGGTTCCCATCACAAGCTTGCTGCTTTGAAGGGGGCCCACTTGGTATCGCAGAAAATGCCCTAAGATCACCATGCCCATAACCCAGTTAAACTCGTGTTCTCTGCAACTGTCTCGGAAACTGAACAGCACAAAAAGAAGCCCTCACCTCTCAAGATGAGCGCGCCGGACATGACCAAATAAGCAGCACCCGAAAAAGCCGACGAAAACCAAAACCACGCTTTTCGCGAAGGGTGTCCACCCTTTTCAGACTCATGTGACCCGTTCCGCGTGTCCCATTGGCGTTTGGACCCGTGCCTTGTCGTGTGACGCCAACATGCGGAAGGTCTCCTCGCTGATGGACCGCTCCGCCAAATCTTCTTGGCGGTAGGCCGTGCCCTTGGGTGCAAGAAAGAATCGAAGGCGACAGGAGCCGTTGGAAGTTAGCCAAGGCCCCCTTGTTGGGGGGGGTGGCGTTCCATGTGCACACCAGAGATGCCGCAGGAAAGAAGAGAACGCCAGAAGTTAGCCAAAATGTTGCTTGGTCTCTGAGATAAATGTCTAGAGGAAATTGGCCGAACCCTGTTCCCTACAGGAACGCCTGACTGGGCCATCAAATGAGAACAGAAACATAGCATGTGGTGTCCGGGTGAAGGTTCTTGCAAAAGATTGCAACGCCTAGGGCGGTCATTATGCTGCAGGTGTGTCGAATTGTGTAGTCGACTCTGCCCTCTGTCTCAAAGTAAAAAAGTAACATCAGGGTGTGTGCACTGAGAGTATGGCTGGGCTGCTCAAAATGGAGAAATTGCCAATCCTTATCCATACTTCCTATAGGGAAGCCACCACAAATGAAACCCCTTGCGTAATCCAAGGTAAGGATTAAGAATTACCCTTGAACAGCCCAGCATGGAGAACACCGTAACGGCCGAAAACAAGCAAAACAATGATGTAGCTTCATCCCATGGAAGGGGAAGTTTGCTCGCAAAAAAAAAAAACAAACAACCACAACTCTTGTGGGATGTCTCCTTTCTGGAGACCCCGTGTCGGGCTTCACAGGTCAAAATTCATAAGGGGCACAAACGAAAATGATCAAAAAACTTCGCTCCCATGGGCTGAACGCAAGTTGGCCACCTGGCGGTGTACCGCTAAAATGCTCAAAGACTCGAAAAGCGGCGCACAAGCCCAGGAGCTCAGGGGGCGAGAAACCCCCCGATGCGCTCTGCGCCATCCGAGGGGCGGGGTCCAAGGACGCGCCGAAGTAGGAGTAGATGTTGATGTGGTGCACAAGGCTGATCTGAGCGGACAGGCAAACCGCCACAACTCGCTTCGAAAGCACCAAAACTCGCTCCTCCAACCAAAACTCGCTCCACCAAAAGTTGTTCCAAAACCGCCAAAATTCGTTCCAAAACCGCAAAAGCCCCCTCCCAAACCGCCAAAACTCGTTCCCAAACCACCACCACCTCGTGCTGTGCAATGGTTGACAACTGGGTTCTTCAAGATGGAAAGTTGCCGTTCCAAGTTTCCGCAACCCGTGCCACACCTAAAAATACAAAGGGAACCCACTAGCAGCTGAGGATTCAGGATTATTTGCACAACCCAGCAAGAATAATGCGGTTAGCTTCATAAATACCTCCGAAAGGCGCCCAGTCGGGATCCAATACTGCAAAATTCTAGGCTCTGATGCGGGCCTCTGGCACCAATGATCAGTACTGTACGGCGTGTTCGGAAAATGTGTTCCCCGCGTAAAAAGGCCACATGATTTCAAATCCAGTTCAATAAACACTTCATCTAATTTCCACATGCGTCCTGAACCCCGCAGAGCGGCCACCTACAACTACCTTCTCCCGACCACCTGCTCCCGCGGAACGGTTGAATCTGAGCTTGGACCTGCTGGGCCGAGGGAGTTCTTGATCCGCCTAACATTACTTGCTTGCTTCCCGCGCACGGATCGGCGGATGGGACAATTCATGCGGTGGGTCCGGTGGGTCCGTTGGGCGGCCATGTGCTCCCCCAAACCAAAAGTGTCAGTGACTCATCTGAGCCTCAAGAAACCTAAGCAGCGCAGTGCATGGCAGGAACTGGCAGGCAAGCGCCACATGGGGCTTATGGAAAACACACTGCAAATGTCCCATCCCCTTGTATGTCCATTTGGGAACACCTCATGTTGTTTTCAGAGTCACGGCGCTGGAGAAACCACCCCCCCGTGGATCAATGCAGTGCGTTGATCAACACTGCAAGGATCCTTCGCTTTCTAGCAAACACCCTCCCAATCCACGGGAGGCTCTGGGCAGCCGGGGCCGTTCCCCGCCTTTGGCTGGTCGGGACAGGTGGAAGTGACCTCGTCCATCTTTGGAGCCCAGCCCACCAAGGAGGCGCCCTCAGTAACGGATTCGGGCCATTCGCGCGACCGCAAAGGGCGGTCCAAAGGGTTTTTGCGGCGTTTGACAGGGGAGCGATGTCCCATTTTGAAGGCCAGTTTGGCTCCGGGAGTTAGAGGCTTGTGACAGTTGCTAAGGCCCGATCGTCACAAGAGGAATTATTCAAGCAAAAGGACCGGTGGCTTGGGTTTTTCCAAGCACGGCTTAGTCGTTTGACCCATTCTCTGTGGACATAAAGGCACCGCGCCCAAAATACCAAACAGGGGGTCAAGCAATCCCTGGCAAAAACTGGTCCTCCCAGGCGACCGGTACTTTGGTTTTTTTGGGGAAATTAGGTGAAGGAAAACCAAAGGACATCGCATCCGACTTTCCGACAACGCAAAGTGCCGAATGGCCGGTCAGCCCAAACACAGAAACTGCTGAAACATAAGATCGAGCTACGACGCTTTTGTGAAACGTGGTCCGAGTAGCTGCAGTAGCTTGTGGCGAGTTCCAATTCAACTTGGGAAAGGGCCGACTGAAAGCCACGAGTCGAAGCCGTCACAACCACATCGCCAATCTTGCCATCCTCTCCCCTCCATATGATATGGGCGTGTCCTTTTTAGAGGCCACCCCCCAAAGAAAAGGGTGGTCTTCCTGTTGGTGTCCCTTTAAAACCACCAAATTAAGGGGCGCCCCCAAAAAAGACACACCAAAATGAACCTCCAAAAAGCCCCTTCGAGACTGGCGGCAAAGTGGCCACAACTATTCTGTTCACCAGTCATGACCATTCCGCCTCAGATGCCCAGTGGCCACGGGAACAAAAAGGGCATCTTTTTTTTGGTTGGTTGAGTTTAAAGAGAACCCATTACCCATCCCAAAAACAAAGGAATTGGGTGCCACTAGGCAACTGGGTTCCCTTTAGAACCGCTGGAAAGGGAAAGCGCGCTTTCGCCCCCAACACAAAGTGCCAAGATGTATCCGAATTGAGAGGGTTCTGAAAGCCTTTGTGGGGTTGACAGCTTTTAGCCTTGCTCAGCAGGGAATGCGGGAACGACCCTTATCAACCATCCCCTGTGGTTTCCTTTCAGGGAACTTCTGGGTTCATTCCCACATTCCCTCACTAGCAAGTTTAGTGGACAATGCCCCTAACTGCCCTAACCTAAAAGGGGAAAGCGCGTCATTGAACAACTGGAAGCCTGGGCAGCCAGAAGCTCTCCCTGTTGCGTCTGAGGCGCCGCGTCCCTGGGGGACAAATCGAGGGCCTCAGGGCTGGCCCCAGTTAATCTTGATCAACACGCAATCCTAAACCTAGAATTTCAATATGGGTGTGCCGGTCTTAAAAAGGACCCCCCAAAATGGTGGTTCTCCTTTTGGTTCCCCATTAAAACCCGAAAAACGGTACCCTCAAAACGGGGTACCCTCAACAAAGGCACGCACATGTATTATTTGTTCAACATCGTAGTCAAGAATAGGATGACCAAACTGCACCCAGCTGAACAAGTGTTGGCGTTGCCCCGAACTTTATACAAAAATGGCCAAACCATTGTATAGGCCTCAGTCCATCCATCCATCCATCCATCCATCCATCCATCCATCCATCCATGCATCCATCCATCCATCCATCCATCCATCCATCCATCCATCCATCCAAACCTTTAGGTAGAACATGTGTAGAAGGGGCCCTTTCTCTCAGTTTCCCGAGTTGCCAATTGTCCACCCTTGTGGAGTGAGCACCTGAGCCTTAACTGTGCAAACCCAAAGCCCGCTCTCCGAGCGCATGGTTTCTAGGCCATTCCAGAAGGACAGCCTTTTGGACGAGTCCGTGCATCAAACTGTAACCACAGCATGACTGAGGTGATACAGGGACATTCCAAGACAACTTAAGGAACGCGAGGAGGCAGATTGAGCAATTCCTCTAAACACGATTTTGCTCCCTCATTTTAAAGAGCTAGACTCGTTGTGGAGGATGGAACTCCAACTTGCAAGGAGAGATAGAGCACACAGGGTACCTGTGATTGATGCCTCGCACAAAGTTAAAACCGTTAAATCATAAATCAACACCTCTTCCAACCAACACGGAACCTGACTGGGAGGGACTTGGTGGGTACCGAGGTTCCCGCGCTGTACACCAGCACGGTGTTCTTCTCATCCGGGCCCGGCCTCGAGGTCACCATCCACGTGCCCGGAACATACCACAGCTCAAACGAATGAATCACCTAATCATCATCAACGTTGGAAGGGGAGCAACAATTTAAATGTTAGCAGTTAAGTGGGGATTTCCCACTAAACCACAATGAGCAAAAATGTAAAATGTTTCCCAACAACAAGCGAGTGTCCCCCCCTAAAAAAACGCCGGACCTTGTCGACCTTTCGACCTTGCGGGGCTCGTCAAGTATTAGAAAATCCTGAAAATCAGATGTTGGTTTTCCGGACCTGGTCGACCTGTCGGCTTTAAAGAAGCTCATACATAGAACCTAATTTATTCGGATGTCAAATTGCATGCTGGAAAGGGGTTGTGTAAAATCCGAAGTGGATGATCAATATCCACCAAGCCCGAGCACACCAAGCAAAGGGCATTTTCAGGAATGGTCCACCAATTGTTCAGCTCAGGCAGGCGTTCAAAAACCCATGTTCGTCAGTGGTGCATAACCTGCATGCCGCCAAAACCCAATATAATTACGGGTGTGTCATTGCTAACGCACACATGGGGGAGTGTTGCTGTTGGTTTCCTTGTGAACCACCGAAACTTCCATTTGGTTAAGAGCCCTGGGAGGAAAACAAAACAAGTACTTTTTCAGTAGTGATAAATTCCTCTTAAAACCAGCAAGGGAAACAACTATTCTTCATGATTGGACTTAGGCCCTAGAATGCATATGTTCTTGTTTGCTTCACTTTGACTCACTGGTAAAATGTGAAAATGTATCCTAAGTCTAGCCCAGTAAGCAAACCTGAAAAAAAATATGATATGTCCAGTAGTTTCCAGAAACTCCTAATAACAACAAGGGAAGATACAACATACTTTTGAGCAAATGGAAGAAACGGAGGGGACACCAGGACCCGGGTCTGCGGCCTCAGGGCGCCTCCCACATTGAAGGCTGCCCGACTGGAGACCACCCGGCCTCGACGGCTGCCGGCGGCGCGGCGGCGCGCGCGCGGTTGACCCGTTGCCCGGTGGCAAATCCGCTTTTTTCCAAGAAACCAGCAGGAGGTTCTACAGAAAACCCCTGATTTTGGTGGGAATTTGGCTAGTTTCCTGTACTTCCTGTAGCTGGTTTCTACGACTTTTGGTTGGTTTAATGTTGACTCTAGGAGTTTTTTAATACCCGTCTCATTAGGGGGGTGTTCCCTCCAAAAGTGGTCTGAATCCCCACTAAAAGGGGACACCCCTATTAATCAACCAGAGGTTTATTAATCCGGGGTTAACATTTGGATCAACTCTCGTTTGCTTCAAGGTTGTTTTGGCTTCGTTCATGGTCAACTGACTTTTGAGGTGCGGCAAACGACATGTCGGCTTTCGCCTCACAAAAGCAACCTGGGAATTCCGACAGCGGTGCAAGTTCTGCAGACGCACCGCCCAGAAGGATGGCCATTTCACGGTTCTCTTTGAAGACATCACCCAAAACGGGGCCACCTGTTTGAGAAACATTCATTTGGCCGTGGGTCAACAATGGGTACCCAAAACAGAACCCTGGTACACGGAACCATGGACCAATACCTGCGGTCCCCCGGTGGTTCAATTTTGAGCCATCCCCATTTGACACCCAGGCTTTTGATCTCGCTCTCTTGATGGGTCATAGACGGAACTGACAAATGCTTACCCCTTAAAACTCCAAGCCCTGGGGAAGTTAATCTTTTACAGACATATAGCCCATGTTACCCAAAAGTTGAAAAGTTGTGTTTTTAAGAGGCAAGAACAAATACTTTGCTTGTGCCGCTGTCTCGTAGCCAAGCTGTCGGTCTGAACGCCAAGGTGCAATCTGGATACCGCTGGCGAAGCAAAGCTGGGCATTCGCCTGGGCGAACCTTGGAACTCGGCCGATCCTTCCATTTGCTTTTTCGCCCCTGGGAAACAATATTAAAAAATATGTCCAGTAGTGAAATCGATCCCCTTTAAAGCCAACAAGGGGAAACAACAAAAAAAAGACACACACAAAACATATTGATTGGCTGGGCTGTTCTTCCCCCAACCTCCCCCGTCCCCCCATGGATCTGCCATGCTTCAGCAAATGGAAGAATCCATGTGATCTGCCCCGACGTTTTTTCGGGATGGGTTGGCCGCAAATGGACATTTGCGGTTTGGGACTTTCAGCTCCCGGCAAACTCGGCTGCGGAAAGTAAACCCTAGTACCCGGAGGCTCGTGCGACTCTGTAGGTGTTTGGGGGTCTCAAAACCTGGCTGTTTGAGGGCCCTAAATACATCGGGAGCCTTTGGGTACCCAAAAACAAAACAAAACAAAAACACCTGAAATCTAAACCCTAAAAGCCCGAAACCTAAACACTTAAACCCTGAACCCCAAAAACCCTAAAGCCGGATTTCAACTACACAAGCGCAAAAACACACACATAGATCGACACACACACAAACACACACACACACTCACACACACACTCGCACACTCACGCACTTTCATGCTGCAGCCAAAATGCATGACCAGCACTTTCTTTGTGAGCACGATGGGACCTGCAGGGGGGGGGGGGTCTGTGTGAAGCTTACCTGCAACTTGCGACGTAGGGGTGTCTGACCAGTGGTGCACTTGTCTACGGGCCAATCAAACGAAACCACACGTTTTGTTGAGCAACACCAACAAACTAAGACCGAGCCACTCACTTCCCAAAGCGAGAAAACACTGTACTTCAGGCAAATTGCGAACCAAGAGACGCCCCTGGCCTCGTGACCTTCGATTCAGGGGGCATTGCGCAACGCTAAAAGGCATGCAAAAGAATAGTGGTAACTGAACCACCCAACCAGTAGTTTTAATGGTACTTACTGGTAAGCAAGCGTGCACCGTCCCACGGTCCCTGCCATGCGCACGGCAAGGGCCTTCCCCACAGGCCCAGTTCCGCCTTTGAACGTTGATGTATCTATCGCACTAGCTTGCTATACACAGCTGCTGTTGTTTTTGACAAGGGACCCTCCAAATGGCTGGTTCCATGGTAGCTTCCTGATACTAAAAGTGTTCTCACCCCTGACCAAAGCACTAGCTGGCACAGTGTGTTGTTCTTCAGTTGTCATTCCAGGCTCCAGGAATGTCCGTGGGGTCCACAAAAGCCAAGGTGATTCTAGACGGTTTTTGAGGCAGCCATTGAGGAATCCCCCGAGGGATCTTCTTTTTGGGGTAGGCGAATTGCCTATGATGTTTGCCGCTACCCCCAAACCAGTAGGTCTACTCAAAAAAACACCGGGAGCTTGTTTTCCGGAAAAGTGGCCATGTCAGATCTTGAAAGTCAATAGACCCACCACCCCCAGGACAAATAAAGAAATATATACCCTTCATGTAGCGGCTAGTGGCTGCAGATCCCATCCAACCCCTAGCTTCGGTTTGGGGGTAACAAATTTAGAGCCTCCGTCAAACCAAAGAAGCCTCCACCCCTCCATCCTCCCATACGGAAGGCCTGTGGGCTTTGCTGTGCATCTGCAGGAACCTCTGTGGGCAGTGTGTCCCTTGTTGAGGCCCTGTTTTGGTTGGCTTCGGGGAAACCAAACGGAACACCACCGTTTTGGGCAAGTCCAGACCTAAACTTGTTTGCGGGAGAAGCCGAGAGGCCCCCCCACAATCCAAAAAGGGTTCTGAGAACCAGAGTTCGACCCCCTTTGCAGCTCCCCAAGCCGTTTCAGAGAGCTCGAAGGACTTGGCGAAAGGACTCATTTGCAACCAGATCGCAGCTCCAAACGCCTGGTGATTTCCTGGACGACCGGAAACGGATCAAAGGCAAGCCGCAAGGCCGAAGTCGAAAGGCGCAGTGACTGGCAAGACTCCCCACAAATCGATATGGGACCGAAAAATACACACCCTCCTGTCCATGTCTCATATCCTGAAGCACTAAACCCCTCACACCGGGAGGAAAAGCACTCATGGCAAATGCAATATCTTAATTGTAGCGACGAGAGCATTTGTGACGCAATTGCTGTGTTGGTGCTTGTGGGGTTCTTTCACCGTAAGGCTCTCTATTTTCGATGTGGATTGAACCTCTTGGCAGAAACGATTAGGTCGTCACTTGCCCCACTGGCCTAGCTCGCCCTTGCCCGAAGCACACAGAAAGAGGTTTACCTGGGAGGTGGATCAGGAGGTAAACGTCCCACCTCCTGTCCACTTCCAAGCTTTCACGACTTTGGGAAAAGGGGGCGCAAACCTAAGAACAAACCAATTCCGTGGGTTCGCTTTCAGCAGAGTAAACCATGTGAGCCCCGGAAGACATTGATCAAGGGGGGCGCGTTCCCTCCTAGTGGCATAACTTGCCTGGCTGCGTGTCTGCCTGTTCTTGTCAACTTTGAGCGATGAGCACGATATGGGTGGGTTCTCCAATTTGTTCTCCTTGGCTCGCTGGCAAATGTCTTGAGAAGCTCGCCTATATGGGTGGGTCTTCAAAAATTGCCCTTTTGGACGGCTTAAAGGGGAAAACACAACAGGCCGCCGCCCATTTTGGGTTTCCCCCGTTCGAAGACCAAACCGCTCCCCGTTCCAGAAACTTCTTCCGAGCCATGCGCTCCAAGGCGCGAGGCAGGCCGCTCGTCGCTCAGCTGCTCTGAGGCCCAGAGAGAGAATCCCAGGGAGCAGAGGACGAGACAGACCTCGGCCGGGCCCAACACCCAACAGCTGCCGGGCTCTGGATCGCTCCTTTCGGCTTCCATTTGTCAAAGGCTTTGGTTACAGGGAAATCTACAGGAGATGGGGCTGATAAAGGCTTTTTTGGCTACAGGAAATCTACAGATGGCCCCAAAGCACCCAAACCTTTGAATTTGGGCAGTGCAAAAGGAGATTTTGGTTGAGACAGATCCATGATCAACATGTCATTGCGAAATGTATCCTGGCTCTACCCCAAGTTGTGCGACACAGTGGGGCCGGTTCGTCAAATCAGCAAAAACCATCAATCAACGGAAACGTGTGCCTTCGGCAGATAAAACGTGCATACATGGACATGCCGAAACAGCAAAGTGTTCAGCCTAGGATATGTACGATTTGAGCCTTGACACCGACCAAGGTGAAGCTTTGCCCCCATGTACAACCAGCAGGGTTGCTATTCAGCGCTCTTAAGGTTTCACCAAAAAATAACCCGTCTGTCAACTGCTCGCACCTCTGACCAACTTAAAGTGTCAACAGCTGCACCTGAGTCACCATCAAGACCGATCACTATTCAAGTGTACCCAAAACCGAGAACAAAAGGAGGCCGAAACCGCATCTGTGGGTGTGTCTCTTTCAGGGAACCCCGCAAAATGGTGGTTTTCGTTTTGGTTTCCATGTCAACCACAAAAATAAAGGGGTACCCTTAAAAGACACATGCCCTCCTTGTCCCTTATGGTTGGATCCGTCCCTTTTCCTTTCCCCGGGTTTTGACAACGGACCCGAAGCTCTGCAGTCCGAGACACGCCTGCCACATACTGCGCGCAGGTGCAGCAAACCCCGCGGCCGCCCTTCATGACATGGAGGCCTCGAAATCCGATGACCCACGGACCGACATGAACAAAAACCCACGGACAGTAAGGGATTCCAAAAAGAAATGGTCCCAACCCAAGCCCAGCGGGAAAAAAAAAGAGCACCCGCGCAAAAACAAGAAAGAACAACAACAACTGCACGCAATCCCTAGTCCTCATGCCAAATGATGCCAGATGGTGGTGGCCTCCCTTGTTGTAGCCGAACGCTTATGATGAGGAAGCCTTCCTTTTGAGCATTAGGACCCCTGAAAAGCTGTTTCTTTTTGAAACAGGCCATGCGCCCGAAGGGAACACAATTGAAATTGGGCAACAAGGCGACGTTTAGCCCCCTCCCAAACATGGCACTTCAAATCGGAGTTGAAGGGAAAGAAATCAAGACTTTCCAAACTCCAGGGAATCATTCGCGACCCTTATCGACAAGTCCTTCTCCCATCATGTACCGCCAAGCGCGCGCTTCAGCATCACCCCATCATCCAGGAATGCGCATTTTTTTAGAATACTTCAAAGACCTGAAACAAGGGGGCTACATCATGGCGAGCTGTTTTTGCGGCCAGCTAAACTCGTTGCAAAATTCCAAAGTAGGCAGAAGGCACGTCAACCGGCAATTGCTCAAGATGAACTGCCCCATCACTGACAGCCGGGACCGTCCAAACAGCTGTCGACCTGCAAAGCCGGTAGGAACCGGACCCAGAACGGATGATTCGATGATGAAGAACGCGCCGAAGCTGCATGGGGTCTCCAACTATGGGCCCCCTACAATGGGCGGAAAAGCCCGCCATTTGGAGAAACCATGCAACAGCTTTTGGACCAGGGAAGCCAGGTTGAACGAAGCTTTTCAGCAGGTGGACAAGTTGAAAAGGGTGGTTCTCAAAATAGGGGATTCCCCTTTTTGGATGGAAGGGGAAACCACAAGGCAATGGAGGATTTTGGCTCCTAATGTTGAGAGACTCCCAACATTCCTGGGTCTGTCATTGCAAGAGTGCTAAAACTGTCTGCAAAGTAAAAACCTTGACTTTCCTGAAGAGGGATCACGCTCAAACCCAGTTGCCAGCTAAAAAACGCGCGTGCTAGCTGAACCCCTGAAGAGGAAAAACACCAAACTCAAAACGCGGGCTTCCAGTCAGGTCGCGCCGGCGCAATGGAACTCGCGGGCGCGAGGCGGGGAAGGCCCAGATGCACGCGGCCAGTTCGGGCCGCGAAGCTGAGATGCAAACGGCACTGTGCTTTCATCTGGCGATCCCTAACTTTTGCCCGTTTAGACAGCGCCAACCAGCACCGCCCCCCGGCTTTTAAATTGGCGCATGTTTCCACCCAAAGGGGATAGGATGAGACGGGCCCAAGAAAGAAACCGGATCCTCAACCGGCCACGATGGCTCCACATCCCCGACCCCCTACTGGAAATCATGGAGGCCCCCTGGTTATGCAGCATGCATGATTCTCCGAGTAGTCACTCGGGGAAACAATGAAAATTGCATTGAAAAGGCCACTTGATGATTGTGGACCATCCTCCTCACAAATGAAGTAGGAAGCAGGGATTGCTCCACAAGCTGACGGCTATTGCTTCATGTCAACGACGGAATGGATCGCAGAAAAAAGACTGGGAACCTCCCTCGAATGATCGGGGGGAAACCCTCTGGTGGACTAGCCTTGTTCTGGCCCCACAAGTCACCAGAGGACAGAAAGGCGTTCTTTTTCTCTCTCTCCACTCTCTCTCTCTCTCTCTCTCTCTCTCTCTCTCTCTCTCTCTCTCTCTCTCCACTCTCTCTCTCTCTGCTCTCTCTCTCTCTCTCTCTCTCTCTCTCTCTCTCTCTCTCTCTCTCTCTCTCTCTCTCTCTCTCTCTCTCTCTCTCTCTCTCTCTCTCTCTCTCTCTCTCTCTCTCTCTCTCTCTCTCTCTCTCTCTCTCTCTGTCTCTCGCTCTCTCTCTCTCTCTCTCTCTCTCTGTCTCTCTACGTCCCAACCTCATGGTCTAACAAACTGGCCCGTCCAGACCGGCGCCGCATCTTAGGACTGGCGTACGGACCTTCCGGCTCACAGCCCCAGACTCATGTCTGGCCTCCACTTGCCAAAGCCAGGCGTCTGGTCAATGGTTTACCTTGGACCTTGCCCCCACCCACAGTGGATGATGGAAATTTAGATCAACCACTAAAATGGTCTTCCAAATTGTGGCGACTCTTAGTGTTTGGGGGCAGGGTCCAAGGTTTACCCTCTTCAACTGAATGCACAAATGCCTTCAATTGAGCCGCCAAGGCCCTCTACATGAAGGGAAGCTAAGCCTTGCAAACTGAAATGGGAACATCTTGCCGCTTTTTTCTGGACCTTCGGCCACGGGAATGCCTCTGTAAGTTCATGGGATGATCACTTCCTGCGTGGATGTGCCAAAACCCTGAAAACTAAACTGCCTTCTTGCTTGCCAACGTGTACCAAACCCCGCAAGAGTGACCCTTAGTCCGAAACAAGAACTTGGGGAGTGAGAAGAGCCTGTCGGTGTGTCTTTTTTGGGGTTGGACCCCAAGATGTGTGGTTGTTCTGTCGTTTTCCCCTTACACACATTACATAAACAACCAGGAACATTCTTGCGGGTTGGATCCGGTTGGTTCCCTGTTAAAGCCACCAAAAACGAATACCAACTCAAAAAGGAGCCACGCCCACATCTTAGCCTCGTAGACGTGAGTGGTTCTTCAGTTGGTTTCCCTTTGGCACCATTAAACAAAAACCGGGGCACCAGCTCCCAAAATCCACACGCCCCTTCTTTGCAGCGAGCCCGAGACCGCCACACGGCCTCCACTTCCGCTTCGGCGGCGGCTTCCGCCTCGCCTGAAGCAGAGAAGCCAACAGGGGCACCCGGTTTGGACACGAAGGGCGGGCGGTTTTCCTGTGAAACCAACTCTTGAAATACGCACTTCCCAAGTTGACTGGCCAAAAAAAGTTTGTGAACTTTTTATTTACCACTAAAATGGTCTTTCCAAAAAGTTTAAAGTCCACCAACTCAGGAAGTGAGATAGGGAGGCTCGCAAAAATGGTGGGTTTAGGGACCCACCCATCTCGGATTTGTGTAAAAAAACAGCCACAGAGTTGCAGGCCTCAGGAGCTTTAGACCATAGAAGTGCGGTGTCCTTCGGTTTCCACGTGTTCGGAGAAATTATGTTTCACAATCTAGAGGTAGGTCCCCTTGGTCACTGGTTGACATTTTGTAACAAGGGCTTCTTGTTTTGTGGTTTGCTCTTTCCCTGATACGGGTTCCCCCCCTTGGTTTTAAATGGGTTGGTTCATGTTCTATTCTTTTCAACCAGCATTATTTTCAAGAAGCCGTTTTGCATTGATTGTTGGCTTTCCGGAAACGTGGGTTTGTCTTTAGCGGACAACCCCAACATGGTGGCTTTCCTTTTGGTTTCCCTGTTGAAACCGACCAAAAGAGGCGCATCAACTCCCAAAACGGATGCACACACACAAGCTTGGGAACGGGCCTGCACGCTGGCACCCATCGTCCATTTCCTTTCCCTGGAAGCTCGCAAACCAGATGTGTCGAAATCCGAACAGGCACCAAAAATGTGCAGCGTGCAAGGGGGGTCGGATATCAATGTTGATGTTGGTTACCCTCGCGGAACAAAGGCGAAAAGCGTCAGGGCAAAACCGGCAAGGCCAACTTAAAACCATCAAACACAAGCAACACCCACACACACACACGCAACAAAAACGTCCCTTTAGTGCCCGGGCCACCTGGACCACCCACTCGCGCATCTTCCAATGGATCCGAAGGGTCCGAAGGACGGGCCTGGCCGGGTCTCTCGACATGGGTGTGGCGCAAAAGCTGGTTGAATCGAATCGGCAGCCAACATGGGGGGCCAAAATGGAAAAGTAGACTCAGACCTGCGGTCTGGCGAAATTAGCTTCTTGAGCTGCGCATAGTGTTGTCTTGGCGGTCTTGGTTGGTTCCTTTCGCTTCCCTACGGCCAATTGGGAGTCCGTTTTGAGAAACCTCCAATTATGTAAAGGGTGGGCTTTTGGTGGTTTGATCCTTCCCTTGCGTTAAGGGGTCGGTCCTTTTTGTAGGACTTTGTTTCCATGTGCATTCTCCTCAACCACCGTTCATTTCAAGAAACCGCCATTTTCTGATGGTTTTCGTCGGTTTTCTGGAAGGGTCCTTGGAAAGAATTAACGCCCTCTGCAAGCCCCGGGGAGAAGGGTGCCGAACAGGATTGCTTACAAAAAGGTGTACCTCAACAGAGGGAAATTCAGAGAACAAAATAAAGAACTGGTTGACCCCCCCCACCAAGGCTCTGATAAGGAAGCCCGCCCGCAAAGTCTCAACCATTCTGGCCCTTGGCCTCAAGTTCTCTTGGGCCCAGCGGGGCCGGGGTAAGAACCCTTGGCCCAAACACCTAGGCAACTCACCCTGACTAAGAGTGCTCATGACATTCGCAATCGCTTACTTCAAATCACATATGGGCAGTTCTCAAAACAGGGGTCCCCTGCTGAAACGGTTGGTTTGTTTCGGACTTCCCTTTCAATAGCATCCGCAAGAGGGGCTTTTCCGCATGTTGAGCACCTCAAGGTCAGAAAGCAAATCCAGCTGCCCCATGGCGTCGGAATGGAAAAGTGGTTCCAACAATAGCCCCCCCCCCTTTCCGGGGTGTTTGTTGATTTGAAAGGAACCCCTTAAAGGAAGTAAACCATATGTTTATTTTTGCTGGTTTGCGGGGGGGGGGTTCCCTGTATTTGAAACACCCATGCAAAGCTTACTAGAATTCACAAATTGGAAAGGGGACCTTCATGTGCGCAGAAGAAGTGTTTTCGCACCCGGAAAATTCAAAGGGCCAAAAGGCTTGGCTCATCGGAATTGCATTCCACAAATACTCGAAAGCTTGCTTTTCCAATCAGCTTTCCTCTAATTGGTGGTTTGGATTGGTGGTTTAGTGGTTAGGGATGTCTTCCCATTTACCCTCTACAAGAACTAGGGGCTCAAGACCCCAAGCCACAAAGCCAA